AAAAACTACTGTTTGTTTAGATAAAGAGCTTTGGATTATATCCTAGATTTTCAGTGGCATTTAGAGGAATGAGAAGGTAAAAAAATAACTTGATTTTTTTTGTTTTTTGTTTTAAACTACTATTTTTGTGTAGTCTGATGTTTAAATCTATGAATTATCACCCTAAAATGTATGTTTTAATCCATTCAAAACTATGTCAAGCTAATCTTTCTCCACATTGCAATGTATAATCTTTTGGTACTAAATTTATAAGGTATTTCTCCCGTCTTCTTAGCGAGCCTTCGTGGTGTAGTGGTCTGCACGCCTAGTGCATAATTGAAAGAGGTCCGCGGTTCCATTCCGGCAAAGGGATTGCATATTCTTCATCTTGCCTGCTTCCAAAATACCTAATGTCTCTACATTGGCACCCGAACTAAAAAGGGTGTTGGAGGATGATTCTTCTCACCCAGCATTTGGCGATTGGGTCCCCTAAAAACCCCAGTTGCCCTTTCAAAGGGGGTGTATATAAGGTATTTCTCCCGCCTTCTTAGTGAGCCTTTGTGGTGTAGTGGTCTGCATGCTCAGTGCGTAATTGACAGGTCGGTTCGATTCCTGGTGAAGGCATTGCATATTTTACATCTTGCTTGCTTCCAAAAATACCTAATGTCTCTACAATTTTTTTGTTTTTTTTTTGTTTTTGATATTTATAAATGGGCATCACACTAGAATTTACTGTGCAGTTTCGCCTGAGTTTTGTGTGAAAACAACCATTGAGAGGCCTTCTAACCTAAAGTATTACCAAGCAGAATATTTTCTTTCTCTTTATAGTTTTCCATGATGGGGCAATACAATTCTGCACTTACTGTGCTACAATTTGAACTACAAATATTCGTGTACAGGGTGAATCTGAATAAAGAGGCAAAACTTTAGGGGGTGATAGAATGCAGTTACACAAGCAATATTCGTCATATAAAGCTTGGGCGGAGCACAAATGGCCGGCTGCTAGTGGCATTGTAAAAGGTGTAAAAAGATTCAGTCCACACTACCCTAGACTAGAACAGCATTTTCTACCCTAGACTGCTGAGATGATAGCTAGTTATACGAACCATGATCTAGTCATCAGGTTTTCCATTGCTTGCTGACAACACTCGGGTATGCTTGGTTTCTTTGCAAATATGCGTTAGTCCCTATCATGCAAGTGTGAAGCCTGCGTTACAGCTAGCAGAAAGTCTTTTGAGTAATTTCTTAGAACATGTACATCAATTACATTCCTATTCATAAAATGTTTTCCGAAGTATCTCCTTTTATTCTTGTGTTAATTCTTTAAATGTTACAGTGAAAAACTGCCTTTTAACTTCTCACTGTTTCCGTTCCAACCATACATTCTATGATGAATATTTCTGCATTCTGTCATCCCATAAAGTTTTGCCCCCATGTTCAGATTCACCCTGCATATAACAGTATAAAAACATAGATAAAAATGAGATTATTTAAAGAACATAAAAATAAATCCGCTAGAAGCCATATCACAATATGCACATTACAATTAATAATAAACACCATTGCAACCATAGTAATAGGAATACCAAACATGTGACCATAGTACAAGTACCAATTCACTTAATTCCATGTACAGCACATACCGTTATGCTGAATCATGTAGTACCACACATTTGCATTAATGGTATAAATACTAATACAGAACAGAGAGAACACACCAGAGGGGCAGTCTGAGGGTTTGCACCCCTCTTTACATACCACCAATTTCTGGAGAGAACTTTTGGCTCGGCATGTATTTTGAGTGTACCCTTGCTGCACAGACATTATACGCCTACAAACGACCATGCTTTCTCCCAGATTCGAATATGGGCCCATCAGTAAAGCAGTCAGCATCAATCAATATACTGGATGCACAGCATTTTCCTTTGGCAGAAGGACTAATCCTAACCATTACTCATTCTCCATCTGATGCTGTCTGATTATCTACCCAACATTCTTACAAAGTCGCCTATCAATGGCAACTAATTTTTCACCAACCTAACATGTCATTGATGTTTTTAAAAAACAGTAGTCATTTTAAAAAATGGGGGCACATTGAAAATAATACAAAATAGAGAAGAATGTATGAAATAAAAAATGCATGAAACACTGAAAGCATAGCTGGACTAATCATTGAGCAAAATAAGCATGTGTTTAGGGCATCAAGAAAAGAAGGCACCACAAAAGTTTTATGGAGCCAGTTTTACCCTGGAATGTGTAGACCAACACCAAAAGAGAAGAAATGGGAAGAAAAGGGCTGTATGTGGGGACAAGCACCAAAATCCTTTAGGTGCTTGCCTTTAGGGCCTGTAAGTCTTAATCTGACTCTGACTGAAAATTACATAAAACAAACATCTGTAATGAAACACTCAAAATTAATAAAACTTTAACAGACTGACTAAATTAAAAATATTATAAACATCCATAATAAAAAGTTTAACTTTCTTTTTTACTGGTCTTCTTCCCAGGAAGTCTTCTGCTTAGGCAGTCTGTTCATAGCAGTTTGCTGTAATAAAAAAAAAAAAAAAAAAAAAAAAAAAAAAAAAGGAGGATTGTAGCATTATCACATGGCAGTGTAACGTGGTGCTGCTCCCTGTGTTACACGTCAACCTGTTTTAACTTTAAAAAAAAATCAGAGAATTGCATAAATTAAATTCATGAAATATGCATTCCTACACTCAGTACTACTAGGCAATATGTCATATTTCTGAAAATGCAACATTACCTTTCTCATTAGCAGGCAGTGAACAGCAGTGGCATTACAATTCCATTATGACAAAAAAAAAAAAAAAAAAGGAACTCTGCACACTAATCACAACAAGCACAACCACAGGATCCTCAATTTCAAAACCAGGCTGCAAAACCATTAGTGAGTTGCCAGGTAGAAACATTTTTGTAAAATTCTGGGTTGCCTACTTTGGTGACAGGGTACTTTGCTTGGTAATTCTTGTCAGGGTTCGGCAGATAACCAGAGAGTAACCCCCCCCCATCCATTTGGTAGCTTTTTAGAGATGATGGGAATGATTGTCAGATTATTTCAGTCAAACATATCTGACTGTCTTGATTAAATTTTTTATCAGAAAATAATATTTTGTAACACTCCCTAACCCAAGTAAAGGTTTCTTAGCAAATTTTAGGGAGCTTAGTTCAGAATTAATGTCAATAGAAATTTTATATTCAGTTTCACAAATTTGATGCTTGAATTTCTGCTCAAGTATATGTGTTTGTTTTGAACTCATTAATCCCAGACTATCTTTTGTCATAGTTAAGAACTCCCCCCCAGCAACAAATTGATAACTGATTCATTATCCTACAGTCAGATATGAAGATCTGTTCATTTTAATGACCTTTATTAATGTTTCATGCTTTATAGCATTTATAAAAATGTGCTAAAAATACTGTGTTGTTTTTCAATAGTAATAGTGAAGTTTCCAGTAGAATATTGCATTACATTACAGTATCCAAGAAAATGTAAATTACACAAACTTCTCTTTTTTACTGCTCTGTTTAATTTTGTACTCTTTTTACTCATGAAAATATCTCAAGAATTGCATTCAGTTTTCTTTGTTAATTGTTTTTCCTTGCCAATCAGAATTTAAAATTAATTTTTGATTACAGAATCAGAATTTTTTTGAAACCAGAAATCTGTCTTTTCTTTTTGTCCATATATAAGTTTCTAGTTTTTTGAATAGTTTTAAAATGTATTTTAATAATTTCTTGGAATTATGTAAGAAAATATATGTATAATTGCTATATAAAAGGAAATTGCATTTCCTTTAATATTAGCTAGCTGTATTTATTTTGGATTGTCTCATAATTATGACATGAATTTTATTAATGCTTTATAATTATAACTCTCTCTCTCTTAATATATGAGAAAGCTTAATTTTTTCCTTTCCATTTCTGTCTTCTTTGAGTTTTTGAATTAAAAGCTAGATTAGTAAAAAATAAATAGGAAAACTATACAGAATGTAATTATAAATTTATGTTATAAAAAAGTCAGTATGGAAATATTTATTTGTATCAGGTTGAACATTTTCAGTTATATCAGTTAAATAGTGTATTTTAAAATTAAAATAAACTGTAAAGTGCATTTTAGTGATTCTGCAGAGCATACATGTTAGCTATTGTCTGTCTAATAAAATGCATGCAATTATTTTTTATCCTTTGTCAGTGTATGGATTTAAAAAAAAAAAAAATATGGTTGAGGAAATTATTTAGAAAAAGGCAAATATTCAGCAGACTAATATAAAATAAATGGCTTTTCATATACATTAAAGTCAGGCAAATGTAGTTGAAATTTTATTCCATTTCTCACTGCTGAATTATGTTAATGTACTGTGTCTTGTAAATTATATGTTTTTTTTTTTTTTTTTTTTTTTTTTTTTTTTTGTCCCTATGTATGAGGTCCAGTGTTCACTGTATTTCTGGAAAATGAAGTAGTAATATTTGCTTCTGCAAGAAGTAAGCATGAAGTTATTTGCTCCAGAAGAAGGAAGATTGTTTTAGTAGTCCTTTGAAATGCTTTAAATCTTTAAAATGATAAATTAATGTCATGTAAAGAGTGAATGGCTATCTGAATACAGCAAAACATTAGAAGGTTATTTGTGTAAAGGATGGGAGAACTTCCTAAGGTAGTCTGGCTCATATTCATGTTGTAAATGGGAAATTGCAAAAACCAGCCGTGCAGCCAGCCTGTTCACTGGGATTGAAACTCATGAACTACCAGTATTGAACAGTCTTTAACTGCTCAGCCACTAGTTGTCCTGCAGAGAGAGTAAATTTTACAGGTTATTTATGATGGTATTTATCTTATGAATCCATTAATTTTTTTACTAAAACATGAGATTTTATCTCCTTTTAAGATTATTACAGTATGATATTATGTCATACCATCATTATGGAGTTATGATGCCTTGCATCTGAAAGACAGTGTTCATTTTCAGTATAGTACTTACATGTAAGTTTTGTATTTTTTTCAGAGTCTGCCCTCTAGTGGTGATATTTTATCAAGGATAGTGCCTTCATGTGTGGAAGCTCTTGCAGTTATGCAAGAGGTCTTCACTGATCCTGAGCAAGTGATGTCAAAATACATTTTGAATATTTTTCATGGTAAACTTCAAGTAAGTAAATTTCAAGAAATTTAATGTTTTTATATTATGAAGTCTAAATAGTTTGTCCTCCCTGAAACCTAACCTTTTAGTTAATTGTTTGGATCCTTTTCATCATTGTGCATTATGATGGTAAACTTTTTCTAAGCATAAGAAATATGTCTTTCAGGTTACCTATTTCAATAAACATAGAACTAAAATAGAGGTGACATGCTATAAAACAGATCTCCTCACAGTAATACCTCATTTCTCCCCTAATTCGTTTTCCTCTTGCATTATTCTTAGATGAACACACTTTACATTCTCTGGCAGGACTTTCTTTATTTCCTCTGTAGGTGGTGTAAGTTAAAAAAATGGCGTTGAAATAAATGACTTGATGATGCTTTGTTTGGTGCATGACCTCATCTTGAAAAATAGATGAAAGTATAATGTTTATCAATTATTTCATTCATTAAATCTAGTCTAAACTGATTTTTTCCACCTCCCTTTATTTAAACTTGAAAAGTGTGAGGAACAGATTGGTGTAAAAGGTGGACTAATTTTTTTTTTTAAATAATATTTTTTCTCGTTTTTTGCTACATGATAACTAAAAGGGATTGATCTACAAGATCTATACCTCCTATTTTTTTGTTGTAGTCAATTACGTCCTTTGGTTTTGTTTACACTTTTTTACTTTTTGTCATTACATCAACAGTTTCGGAATCATGGAATGATGATAACATTGCTACATCCTTTTTGTCCTTCTGTTTCAGAGTGAGAAATTTTTCATGTGTAAATGATATAATTTTGTCAGATTTTAATTTTTTATTTTTCAGTGCTGAAGGTAAATCGTCTTTGTTTTCTTTGACAGTTCCAACACGTGCGTTTGATAAGTCAAAAGGATATCACATAATTCTGAATGAAGTATAATAATTATTTAAAGTGATGCAATACCTTTGTTTCAGTAATGGCATCACCAAAGTCATAATAACTTATACCAGTGTCAAGATCATGATTTGTGATAGAGACCGGAATTTAGGATGAAATAACCAGTACTAGATGTGCTTAGCATATATGTTTTAATACCAAATTTTACTTTTTTCAAAGGTTGGTGATCTTCTTCGTATAGCATCAAAGTTTCATCTGTAGTAACATCTCTTTCTGGGGGTAATTGCTTTTTAATACATGTTTTTGAAATGCTCACAAATAGGCTAAATTTTGTAGAGTTTTGGGTTAGGATGATTTTCTGGATCATGAGAATTATTATTCACATAATGCAAGTATTTTTTTTATGTCACAGTACATACTATATGACATAAAAAAAGAGTTTCCACTGATGTGTTCTTAATCCACATACATGCTTTCATCAAGTTTTTTTGTAATACATTGTAAAATTGTAAGCACAAGAAACAAATGTATTTCATGTGGGGATACAAGTTTCCATTCTCCTTTGCCTTTCCGTTTTCTTTTACCAACAATGTATACCTGATTGCTGAGCATGGTGATTAGTCGCTTTTACAATTATATTCACTATTTCATCATTTATAAAATGCTCATAATGTTGTAAAATGCCTGAGTTATCTTGAAATGAAATATTTGCTTTAGGCAGTAATATGAATTGAAAACATGGAGGACACATATTTGAGACATCCAGCATAATTTTGTTCCATTGGCATCCTGGTAAAAGTGGTGCCAGATCATCACTATTATCACTTTCTTCAAATTCTGATACTTCAGAATCTAAAGCATTTGAAAAAAAAAAAAAAAAAAAAAGTCTTATTCATTTCATTTTAAAAATATTAAATGTGAAAAAATGATAAGCATCAAAGCTGGATCCCCTCAAAGGATGTTCAAATGAAAAGAATATTGTAAATCTACACACTAGTGTTGTATAACCAAATTACAAGTACTGTACTACCATTTGTGAAGCAGCTGTAAGAAAAAAATTGATACAGGCATGGTAAAAATTAGAATTTCCATGGCTTTTCATTACAAAAACATAGCCTGTGTGAGATACAGGTATGATACGGTAAATCAATTCATATTTTCAGCCCATATGAGAGATGTGTACGACAACTAAGGGGTTAAGAAGTTTTTACATTGTGTGATAAATTATAATTACAGCTATAATGATTAAATCCTTTTATTAATCTCATAGTATGCTAAGTTCTTCATTTTTATTTTGAAACACCAGAAGAAGATTACTGATTATGAATGATACACTATTTTAAATTTCTTTTGCAGGATTAATAGTTTTTTTTTTAAAGTTTAATACAGTCAAAAGTCGTTAATCCGGACTCATTGGGACTTCGGCGATTCCGAATTATCGATTTTTCCGGATTATAGATCATTAGTTTAAATCTCGTAAGATGGCATGCAGAAATCTAAAATAAAAAATTGAAACCTTAATTTATGAAATAAAAGAACATTAATCTAAAGGGTATCAAAATTACAAAAAAAAAAAAAAAAAAAAAAAAAAAAAAAAAAGCTTCATATTATTTGTTTACTTTATTAAACATTTCTTTCAATGTAAGTTGTTTTAAGTTGCTTCGTTTTATGTGATAATACTCTCTTTAATTCTATAAACAGACACAATTTCTTGTTCAGTTACAAAGTTCTGCTGTTCAAGTCCCGTTAAATTGTTGTGCCGAGAATACTGACTAACTTGTCAATCGAAATTTTTCTGTTTTCACTAACCTCTCTGTCACATTCTTTATGTCTTTATCCATTTTTTGCAGCAATTCCACTTTTTGTTTGATGAACATCGAAACATACTTTCGTTTTGTAGATCCTTTGGGAGCTCCAGAATCGAAATTTATTTGACGTAATCGAAAGTTCAAGTTTACTTTTATAAAATTTCTTTACAGTCTGCAAAAAATAATAAGCCGGATGCAATTCGAAGATTAAGGAACAACGCAATCATCAACATTAACTGAAATAGATAATTAGATAATTGTAGCTTGTACCGTCCGTTATACATAAAATGCGCACGCGAAAATGTATTCTGCGCTTGCGCACACGCGTATGCGCAGTGGTAAAAGTTCTTACACGCACGCGTAAACGTCTATGCGCATGTGTCAATGTGGCGCATGCACAGAAAGTTTTTAGCTTTGAAGTCCGGATTATAGATCATTCCGGATTATGGGTGTCCGAATTAACGACTTTTGACTGTATTTCTTTTTAAGAATTATACCTATTTTTTAAATGTTCAGATGATATTTACTTTATATATCTTATATATCTTTTTTTATCTTTCATTTGCTTCACAGTAATAAGTAAGATGACTTAAGTGTTTATCATGTTCTTCATTATTGTATTTTTCAGTAAATGTAAACGATTGTTCAGTTACTCAATTTGATAACTAGTTTTTATGTTTTGTCAGGGTTGGTCAGGAAAGTTTGGTCATGAAAAATCAAGGAAATTAAGAATTTAATTTCAATGGGAACACTGTAAAAGCTTTTTATTGACAATGCTTACTTCAAAAACCATGTTTAAGAGATAAAAACAATACATTTAAATTAAAGGTGGTCTTGTAGGTAACAATTTGTTCAAATCATTTTTTTTCTTTATTTTAACATTTTGGCATTGAATTCAAATAAATAAAAATCAAGCAAAGTATGATGCTAGGACTAATAAGTTGATGTATCTGTCTTTTTGTAGAATATAGAATGCCGCATGTTGTTCTCTAATGGAAAAGATCCAATTATTTTTTAAGAAAAAGATTTGAAATCCTATTTAAAAATTTATCAAAGATCTTTCAGAGTTATAACTTAAATTCCAATATTATTCACAAAAATTATTCTTTTTAAATTTCAGACTCATATCAAAGCTGAATTAATGGACTGTGGGAATCCTGAAAGATATCTTGAAAAATTCGAAACTCTTTATTCCAGGTATGTGTTTATGAATACCATAGTTATTATAATTTAAAGTTTTATAAATTTTTGCCATAATGCTAAAATATTTTCCAGTTTGCATCATATGTTTGTGATCTTTATTGCAGAGCCCATTTCCATCTTTTCTTTAATGCTTATATTTCAGTTTTATGGTGATGTATCCTCAAATGAAAATGTAATTGGGAATATAAATATTTTGATAATTGATTTGTATAAAGTTGAATTGTGCAAATTCAAGTTCAAAATTGGAGAATCAGCTTTCTTTGTTAAATTCTTTTATTTGTAAATATTTTAAATTATAGAAGTACTTATTCACTACTAAAATCTGTGTTTTTTAGACTAAAGTTATACTAGAGAAAAAGTTTTGACTTTTATTTTTGTCTTTGTTAAGCACATTAAAAAGTGATTAAACTTTTGAAAAGTATTGTTAAAAAAGTTAAAAAATTTGTCTAAGAAATCCATTTTTGACAAAGTTTGTTGAAAAATAATAAAATTTAGAAGAATGATTATCCCATTCTGAATACTTTCCAGTTATAAAAATGCAAAAGTAGTTTACTTTTCTTCTATTCTATTCTGCATTTGCAACAAAAGTATACAAGTTTGACTGTAATACTTTGTAAACTTTTATTTAGGTTTTGTAGAAATATCTGTTAGGATCTTGGATGATCATTTTGTATTACACATGCATTCACTTGAATTGAACTTATTTTTGCCCTGTGTTCTTTTTATTTTTGTTATTTATCCTTTTCTAATATCGTTAAGATATTAAGAGAAGGAAAAAGGTATCTCTTTAAGTGTGTCAAAATAAAATTTTTGAGGTTTATATTGCAGTTTAGTTTTCAAAACAGTAAAATATTTTTTTATAATGATTCTGTAAAAATTGGCTATTTGTACATACAAGAATTTATTTATTATATTTTAAAATTTTACCTGAAGCATAATTTTCAGTAACAGTCAAATGCAATTTTGATAATTACTTTTGTTTTTAATTAGGGCTTTTATAAAATGCTTCCCCAAATTTTGTTTAATCTGGGTTGGGAGAGGAAAGAAATTTTTTCTTAGTGTACTAAATTTTAAAGCAGAATATTTTTAAAATTTAAGTTTTAAACTGTATTTGTTGTAGTAAAGCTGTATAGGTAAATATGCTTTGAGTGCAGTGTGCCTGTAGATTTGTGCATTGAGATAATTCAAAATTTTGACCTTAGTGGTATAACTTAATAAAAGTAAACATTCTTTGGAGGGAGGGAGAAAACTTTTTTCATAAGGAACATAATATGTTAAAAAAATTACTTAAGTGCTAAGGAAAAGATTGTGTATTGAAAATGTAAAAAATCAGTCAGCTTAGCTATAAGGTATATAATTCTAATGCTATATCTCAAAAATATTCTTGCTCATGTGCATTTTGATGTGTTTATTATGTATTCTTGTGATTAATATACCGTATACGCTCATATAATGTCCGCACCTCAACTTTACAGATAAAATGTATATATAAAAAAAGTGAACCACAGAATGTCCATACCCCAAAAGCTAAAGAATTTCTTAAAAATATATTTTCTTTAAAATATTTTTTTTTAACATTGCCTTTTCCCCTTTAGTCAATAACATTAGTAAATAAACATTTTTAAAGAAAGAATACACATTTTTTTTTTGTCTGGTTCGCACCAGGATAGAAAACAGAGACTTTACTTGTATTCTAGTGCAGCTGTTATTCAGTCATAACATCGGTGCCAGCAATCCACTTGGCAGACATGATAATAAATGAAAGTGGTCCAAACAGGCTTTCACCACACTAGCTTCCAGGAAATACTGTTTTGTAATGAAATTACTTTCCCCTCCTTGGAGCATTTGCATATTTCAAGCTTTCTCTTTTCATTCATAGTATCATTTGGATTTCGTGGTAGTTATCAAATAGCATGCCTGAAATGAGAAAATACAGCTGCTATACAGCTGCTTTTAAATTGAAAGTCATAAGATTTGTGCAGAAAAATGGAAAAAGAGCAGCAGCAAGAGTATATAAGGTGGACGAAAAGTGTGTGCGTAATTGAAGTAAACAGTGTGATCAACTGCCGTCAACGAACAAAACAAGACGGGCATTTCGTGGTTTGAAATGTAAGTTTCCAAACTTACAAAAAAAGTAATTGCATATGTTCGTGATATGCGCTCTCAAGGGTACGCAGTAACACGGGGAAATGTGCCAAATAAGAGCGCTTGCTGCGGCACGAGAAGATATTCCTGGATCGGTGAATGATGAAACGAAATGGATTTTCATACAGTGCATCAGAACAGATCTTTTAAAAATATAATGTGTGCAAGATTTTAAAAGAACCATTATTTACTTAATTTGTGTAAAAGTAAATATTAAAATTTTTAGTGTTAGTTTGTGCCTCTTCTATATTGTGCTCCTGTGTGAACTAATACGCGCTGAGTGTTGATAACGTAAACAATAATTAATAATTTATATTATATATGCGGATGGGAGAAAGCGAGTTTGTAAATTTTAGGTAGCTATTAGCCAACTTTAAATTTGATCCTTTTATTACTTATGCTATTTTCTTCCACTTAGAACTTAACTTGGCTGTTTGAAATGAAATTTATACCCAAAATTACTCACGAGAAAAAGAGCAACATTTGAACGACCCGTGTAATGTCTGCACCTGCTTTTTAGTGATGTAATTTTAGTAAAAGAAGTGCAGAGTGAGTGTATATGATATTTAAACTTGAAAATATTAGGGAGTACAAATTAGTCTTCGATGTTTGACAAAAATTGGCACTACCAGTAAGTGTGGTTATGTAGTGGGGTGCACTACTAGGAGGTGTTTAATGTGACAATCTATCCAAATATATATATAGAAATCCTTAATTAATTTCCATGTGCCCAATATTAACTGGCTTGAATTCTAAGTGGTAGTACATTGCGAATTAAACTCTAGTAACAAGAATAATCAAATATTTCACTTACCCAATAACCCACATGCATGAGACTTGCAGAGACAAATTTCTTTTTCTAATCTCGCATTTATTTTATCAAAAACACACATTTTCTGGATTAAACATGCAGTACTTATCACAGAGCACATAAAATATCAAAATATCATAACTTAGAACACAAAATGAATAATTAATAGAATTTCATCTATTAATGAAATTATCCCTGTAGAAATTTCTCCTGTGGTTGTCTCTAGCCTGTCTATAATATTGAAAATTATTGTTTGAAGGAAAATAAGGACACTCAGTAGTCCAATGATTTTGTTGGCAAATATGACAAGATTCTCTATTATTATTACCTTGAGTAGCATTATTTTCTAATCTAGTTACATTATTTACATTGCCATTAGGTAAAATTTCACTAAATTTTTTTGACAAATCCTCAATGGCTCTATTCTTTTGCATCTGTTGTACAATTAATGTATTTATTTCAGGCGAATAATCATGTGTCTGTGAGTTATTACCAGAATCCTCTAATGCTTTTTCTGTGTTCTTTGCCTTAACAGCAGTAGCAAAATCAACAGTTCCTAGTTTTTTAACTTCCAGTCTTAAATCTGGTCGAAGAGCTTCAATAAATTTTGAAAGTATAGCTTTTTGAGTAAGGTTATGTATCTCTTCACTAGAAATAGCATAGCACCCAAAATATTTTGCAGCATAAGCATTCACTTTATTAGCTAAGTCATCGACTGACTGATTTGGAGTCTGTCTAATTGAGCTAAAATTATTTTGAATCATGTCAAATGACTGAGATCTTGCAAATTTGTTACTTAGTAATTTTTTTAAAATCATCAAATAACATATCTTTACATGATTCATTATCCATTACAAATTTTAATGCCTTACTCCTAACTGTCTGATGTAAAATGTCTTGTTATAAGGTTGGACATCTGCTAACAACATAACCTTGAAATATTAGGGATTTTGTGTCAGCATCATATATTTTTTCCTGTGGAAATGTTGAGTTTTGAGCTGAATGTGCATCATTTGCGGGAACTTTTTATTTACTTCTTTAATTTGAACAAATCTGCAGCTGAGGCACATCGATTGCTTGTAGAAGTATATGGTGAGCCTGTTTTAAGTGAGAGAAGTTGTCATGAGTGGTTTCAAAAGTTTAAGGACTGTGAATTTGACGTAGAAGATAAAGAATGTAGTGGAAGAGTGAAAGTATACAAAGATGCGGAACCAGAAGCATTACAGGATAAAGATTCTTGCCAAGCACAAGTAGAACAGTTACATTTGGAGTGACTCAACAAGAATGGAACTTCTGTGTGACTCAACTCTAAAGCAAAGATTCAGAGAAGTGGTTATCCCTGAATTTTACAAACATCTGCTTGATTCTCAGAAAGCCACAAATTTGTATCATACATGATTTTCATGTATGGATATATCAACGTGAACAAGTTTTTTAATTAATGAAAAGGAAGACTTTCCCTGTGGAATTCAGCTTAACAGCCGTTCAATCTGAACTCTGTTCTGAAAATTTCTCTTTCAAGCAGCATGCCTGCAAAAATAAACTTTTTTAGCATGTTTTACTTTCTTATTTTCATAAAGGCAAGAAAGCAGTTTAGGTTCACAAAGAGATATGTTAAGTTTATGGTGTTGATTGATTAACAGAATGCATGTGTCAGAATTAGTTTAAAAAATTTTGTTCTCGAGATTTTTCACTTGAAAATGACCAACATTCTAACCAACATTCTGAAGTTGATGATGATAAATTTAAATCCATAATTGAATCAAATCATCATATAACTGTGTAGAGAGGTTGTAAAATGGTTAAGGGTATTGCACATTGTAAGGATCTTAAGTTTTACTAACGTTTATTTTATTTTAAATCTTTACTATCACTTCTTATTTTCTACTTCCGGCCAGAATTATAAGCGTGAAGGAGTTTATGCAAAGTTGTCTGGCGAACGCCAAGTATTTAAGTGTGGCCTTTTTGCCAAGCGGAGAGAGGAAGCCGTAAGAAAATTCACGTTTTCAAGCTCTTGTATGGAAACCGTCCGGATCCT